GCCCGAGTTGGCAGTAGAGGCTGCTTATCCATAAAACAGAAAGGAAATTACAATAATTGGACATTGGCAGAGGTAGGCAATTAGGGACTTACAAAATTTGTGAATGTTCTTTTCTGATTCATCTTCTTAAGAAAGTAGGGAGCAAAGTAAACACTAATAATGCAGATGTGAAATAGGTGAACTGAGTTTGAGGATAAGAGAAAGTATTAATGCTTTAGAAAAGTAAAAGAACTAAGATAAACTAGTAGTATAAATGAAACAAGTTAGCATACATATACAAATATTATATACATGTATACACAAATATTTTTGAAACAACAGAATAAGTAATTAGGGAAAGCACTTGAAATTCTCTCTACTTCCCATTTATCTCTCTTCTGTTCTGTATTTCATTTGCATATATATTCTGATATACATGTATATCCCATTGATCTTATAAGAGAAACTATTGTGATATTTAAGGTCATGGTTCTGACACTTTGCTTAATATTATTCTCAAGTTGCATCCCTTTACATTTGAATGCCTCAATTTATCTTGTTATGGCAGCGTAGAACCCCACTGAGTATAAACCATGGTGTCCTTATCTATGTAAGAATCTTTTTGGTCTAAGTCATACTCTGAGCAACTACTTTAAGATATGATACATAATGTAAAAACTACTACTATTCTCTTAATATTTTGTTAAGAAATTCTGTTTTATTTTTTCATAAGAAAGCACTACTCTGGTATACTTTTTATTTCTGAGACAAGGTCTTGTTTCTGAGTGAAAGCTGGCCTTGAATTCACTGTGTAGCTTGGGCCAGCTTCAAGTTCTCTGCAATCTCCCTGCCTCAGCCTCCTGAGTGAGATCTGGGACTGCAGACATGCAGCATCCGCCCAGCCAATTCTGGCATACTTTGAAAAAATAATAAAAAGAAACAAACAATTAAAAATGTAAAGAAACGAATGGGCATGGAAACAGAAAAGAACATTACCGATTATAATTATAATGATTTAAGTAAGATATAGAGGGATGTGACATTATGTGGGAGATAAGGAGTAAGGGCAAGCAACACCTCACGTCACTGAAATTCCTGCTGGGGCCGTGAGACGCAACATAATGGAAAGAAAGGATATGTTGATTAGGGAGACGTTTGTAATCAGAAAAGAAGTTGCTATTACTGGTAATGACATGCCAGGGATATCACCATAGCTCAGAATAGCTGAAAAGAGTGGAGCACACTTCCTTTGGATGTAAGTCACTATCCTGGATATTGGAAGAATTAACCTACAGTACATAATTTTTTTTCTCCTCCTCCTCCTCCTCCTCCTCCT